CCCCATCCTCTGTAAACCCCATCCTGTGTAAACCCCATCCTGTGTAAACCCCATCCCGTGTAAACACCATCCCGTGTAAACCCCATCCCGTGTAAACCCCATCCTGTGTAAACACCATCCTGTGTAAACACCATCCTGTGTAAACACCATCCTGTGTAAACCCCATCCTGTGTAAACACCATCCTGTGTAAACACCATCCTGTGTAAACCCCATCCTGTGTAAACACCATCCTGTGTAAACCCCATCCTGTGTAAACACCATCCTGAGTAATGGAATGTGACGGGGAAACAGAGCGAGCATTTGTTCCCACTTTCTACCTGTCATATAGAATAGAGCAGCAGCACACTACTGATATATCCAATTTTGCTAATGAAGAGAAAGTATATAGGAGAGGATTATAACAATAGCTTCAGCCCAACCTGCTCCTTCCCTCTAGTGAATCATGTAGTAACCGCTGCCAGAAGACAGCGGAAGACCAGATATTGAGATGTAAATCCAAGAAAACAAAAGATCATCAAAGTGGACACTCCAGTTCTTCCTCTTCTCCCCCCTCCTCTCCCTAGCCTCTCGCACTCCCTATCCATTCGTATATTCTTATGCTGTTTTGGTTTTCCTCCCTACCTGGAGGGTCTACCTGGAGGGTATTCTGGGGATCGACGCCCCCCGCGGCCCGGTCCATGACCAGGCCCCCGGTGGATCCTTCTGTAGAGTCGGATTAAAAGGGAATCTCCGGTGACTACAGATCCAATCATCATTTCAAATCTTTATTGCTTTTTTCTATATTCATGTTATCTTCATGTTTATTGTCTTCATAAAAATAATTAACATGATAATAAACATGCTTAGCTTCATATTTTTATATTCATGTTTATTATATTCATGTTTTTATTATATACACGTAGAAGTCGCAGTTCCAGGAGATTTGAATGCAGTCAGATGTGATCCAAGGAAAGGGAGCATAGCTCTAATTTCTACGACCAAGAGCCCTTCATCAACACGGAGGCATCCACCTTATCCCCCCTTCAAGAAGGGTGGCTTCCAGTCAGGGTTAGGAATAATTAATATATCTTCACTGAATGATGGTAGCGTGTCTTCATCTAGCTGGGATTTAAGGAGTTGAGTAATAACTCTTGATTCCACTTAACAATTTCCTTTACTTAGTTCTGGCTTCCTTGTCCTGATCACACCTCTCAAAGATCCATAATGTTTACCTCGACTATTTCTTCGTCTAGTTCGCTTCGCTTATCTAACACTCAAAAGTTTGTATCATCTCTGTGGCTTGACTGCGTCTTTAGCTGATGCAAGCAGCTGAGCAGAGCAGCAGAGCGGCAGAGCAGCAGAGCAAGCAGAGCAAGCAGAGAAGCACAGCAGCAAGCAGTAAAAGCAAAAGCAGTAAGAATCCATATGACGAAAACAAAGCTACTAATCGTAGGAGATTTCAACCACACAGAAAAAGACTGAAGACTTTGGACACACATTGGGCGACCTGAAACTTGGATGGCTAACATGGAGGTGGTGACGGGAAACTCTCTCTCAACAAGTCAGGGACTCAAGTGGTATAAAATACCGACATGATGTAAAAAAAATAGTATAATGCAATCCTTTATACTGCATGTGAATTTTTCATGTCTGGGACTCAACGAGCAGGGATTGAACCAGCAAGACTGGATATAGTATTTACCACAAGCATATCTGACATAGGTGAAGAATACGATAGGCCTCTGGTTTTAGCGACCTTACAGTAATGAATTTCACGTACCTTGCAAAAGTAAACATTAAATGAAAAATAAAAGGTGGGGGATGGAAAAAAAAACAGATTTCAGAAGAGGAAACTTAAGGATAAGGAAATTCCTGAGTGAGGAGGGAAACTGGAAGAAAAGTCAGCGAAAGTGATGAAGTACCAGGTAGGAAAGTGAGAGAGAGGAAAACTTCAAATATAGAAGATAAAACAAAAAGAAAAGAGTCTATGGCTCAACCAAAGATGCAGAGAGGAAAAAGTGCAATAGTATGGAAAAGCTATTAAAAACAGAGAAATGACCATAAAAAGCATAAACGAGTGAGAAGGGATTCCGAACGATAATTTGAGAATGACAGCAAAAGCCAAGCCTGAAACGAAACTGCTTCACAGTCACATCAGATGACAGTAAAGACCAATTAATAAGGGAGGAAGGAAAGAAGAGAGTTCACGGGAAATCTATGATCATATGCATCCATCCATTTCCCTAGTTCTCGAACACGACACTCCCTACACCGTTTCTCCTCTGCACTTCCTTACATCACAGTATCCCCTATCTGTCCATCAGGACGCCCCTCTAGATCACCCATTTCTCCACCTAGCCGTTCCCTCCCTCCTTCCCGTCACGTCAATTTCCCGCCTTACTGCCACGATGATAACAACCTCAGGCGCTCTTTCCATTAGTCCGTCGCCATGACAGTAAAAGGACCTCCTCCTCCCCGAATGAATGTAAATAGGGTGAGGCACACTGCTCCCGGAGCGACCTAACGCCTGTCACAGTCTGCCATCCATCCATCATCAGAGATGCTATCCCAGAAAGACGTCACAAGGTCGCCAAGCTTGGAAATCAACGACTTGTGACCGGGCGCCATTACCGTCCCTGGCGCGCGTTCGATTTCCTGGCAGCAGAATATAAACAATTAAAAAAACTAACTTCTCTTGTGTTCGAATATATACATACATTTCCAAAAGCGTCGGCGTTTTGTATCGAATATTATTCTGAATGAATAACAATTAGCTATTGGCTTGAATATAAATTACCCGTCATAATGTATGCATAACATCAATGAAACGGCGCCAGCGAAACGGACGCAGCTGGGAGACTTGGCGGGAATAATTACGCGGCAATATTCAAATGAAGGAGAGGCCACTTAACGCGGGAAAACGAGAGCGGCTGATGCTATATTTATGAAAATTAAGAAATGTACATTACAAGAATTTAGAAATTAACATTTGATATTTTTCACGAGGATTACTGAACAATGATTCATCGAAGGACATTACTGATTGTACATTATTTATAATACACTTGTTCCCTGAATAATAATAATAATAATAATAATAATAATAATAATAATAATAATAATAATAATAAATGCTTTTACTACTACTACTACTAATAATAATAATATTTTTAAATATTCTGAAAATACAATAAAAGCATCAAATATATACACATTCCACACATTCCTAAATATGCAAATGCGTTACTAAATAATAATAGTCACTTCATAAATACTAACATTTAACATCCATGTCTTCACAAAAACAGTAAATTATAATTAAAATTTATCGAATATAAGAGACTTGTGTACACTTGACGGTGTAATAACACACACACACACACACACACACACACACATACACACACACACACACACATACACACACACACACACACACACACACACAGATGAGCTATGAATCGACCCCTGCAATCACAATTAGGTGAGTACAATGTACACATGACAGAAACACAAGTAGAAAGCGAGTGTACACATGACGGAAAAACATGTGCACACACACACCATGAGGTGCTAAAGAGACTGACGTTAATTGAAGGTACAACCTCGTTGGTCAACTGGAAACTATGAACCTGGAAAAAATGTAGGATGCCCATTGCAGAAAAATAGGGAGGTAATTAGACCATTTGAAGAGTTCATCTAGAGAGGTCCTTTAGAGGTCATTTAGAGAGGTCCTTTAGAGGCCCTTTAGAGAGGTTATTAGGTAATTTGAAGAGTTCATCTAGAGAGGTCCTATAGAGGTTCTTTAGAGGTCTTTTAGAGGTCCTTTAGAGAGGTCATTAGGTCATTTGGAGAAGTCATTTGTAGAACTCATTAGGACATTAGGAGAGATAAATAGAAGTCATTAGAAGAGCCAGAAATGAGCATAAGAGAGTTAGGAAGAAAGGCATCACAACACAGTAGCTGTTGATGGAAGACAAGGTGGCATCTTGCTCGCAAAATTCCAAGATGAGCTTACACAAGAAAACTGACAAGCTGAGACGGGAAATGCAAAGCCGAGCAAAGTGTGAGAACCTCAAGGGATGATTCATGTTCTTAGACGCTTACCAGATCTGGACATGACAAAGACCTGGAGACCAAACAGATCAACGGCTACTTAAAAACAGACTAGGAAAGGACAGACATGATCTCTGTTATATAACTCGAAGAGTAAAAAAAAAAAAAGGGTTCAGATAAATGGATTTTCACAAAAGGAACCAAATAAACACGCAGTGAGAGGGACCAAATAAGCATGGAAAGCCAAATAAATACACAAAGAGCCAAGAAACCAAATATACACAGAATAAGGACGAAGAAAATACACAGTTCTTAGAGGCCAAACAAATAAATAAAAACAAAATCTGTAGAAACTAAACAAATATACACAAGTCCTTACAAGCAAATACACACAGGCCCTAAAGGCGAGGTGGGGGGGGGGGAGAAAACATACAGGCCCTAAAGGCGAGGGGGAATACACACAGGCCCTAAAGGCGAGGGGGAATACACACAGGCCCTAAAGGGGGGGAAGACACACAGGAGTGTGGGCAATACACTCAGGCGTTAGGGGTGGGACAATACACAAGCCCTAGGGGGTGGGACAATGCACATAGACCCTAGGGGGTGGGACAATACACTGGCCATAGGGGGTGGCACAATACACAAGCCCTACGGGGTGGGACAGTACACACTGGCCCTAGGGGTGGGACAATACACACATGCCCTAGGGGTGGAACAATACACATAGGCCCTACGGGAATGGAACAATACACACTGACCCTAGCAAGAAACGATACAGACTGGCCCTACGTATGGAGAAATACATGCATGCGCTAGGGAAGGAACAATAAACACAATCCCAAGGGATGGGGGAAATATATGCTGGTCCTAGAGACCAAACAAATGCACACAGGTTCTAGGGGCCCAAGTAAATATACAAAACCTAGGGGCCAAAAATACATGCACATACAACCCCAGTACACACCTGTCTGGAGAGCAGAAGGGCAGAGGTGACGGGTGGAGTCCCTCAGTGATCACTGCTTGGACCTCTGCTGTATATATAAAGAACAAGAATCACAATACCGTAGCAAACACAATACACAAGAAAACCACAAAAATCTTATAAACATTAATGACCTACCAGAGGAAACTGAACCTTATTTGTTGCTGTTTGTTGATACAATACGAGGTAAGTCATTGAAACAAACACAGCAGAGGCTCCGTGGTGATTTACACTCCAATGCGGTAAATAAAGTGGCTAATTGAATTCAGTCCTGAAAAGTAAAAAGTTATAACAAAAGCAGCAATGAGAAGACCAGGCAAGGAGTACAGCTCGGGAGATAAGTCTGAAGAGACTTTGGAAGCTTACAATAGCATCTGTAGATGTGAAAAAAATTAGAGATGCAATAATAACGTATACAGAAGGGTCTCACCTTACAGCATTTCACTAATACAGCAGTTTTCAGTTACACCCATTCTTCATTCCGATTTCCCACGATAAATATTTTCACCACTTACTATAAGCTAAGGACGAAAGTATTTTAAAGTAAGTAATGTACGTACTGTATTTACATTTTTCTAGGCCTAGCTCTGAAAAGTGAAAGTGAAAAAAAGGGTTATGTTTCACTTTACAGCGGTGGCCTGGAACCTAACCTGCCGTATAAGCGGAGCTCTGTTGTAAAATGCGCAGAGAATTTGATAAAATGGATAGTAAGGAGATATGTGAGGTGGAAGAAGGAAACAAAGACGAAAATCAACTACAATAATGTCAGAAATGATTTTTGTCTCGTAGTGGGAAGTGGAATATACCTGAAGAGGTAGCGGAGGAAAACACTGTACACAGTTTCAAGAGTAGGTATGATCTTCCCTTGAAGGACAGGAATCAGTAAAGAGGCAGTAGTACAGAGACAGTATTAAAGAGGCAGTAGTACAGAGGCAGTAGTACAGAAGCAGTAGTAAAGACAGAGTAGTACAGAGGCAGTAGTACAGAAGCAGTAGTAAAGAGGCAGTAGTAAAAAGGCAGTACAGAGGCAGTAGTAAAGACACAGTAGTACAGAGGCACTAGTACAGAAGCAGTAGTAAAGAGGCAGTAGTAAAGAGGCAGTAGTACAGAGACAGTAGTAAAGAGGCAGTAGTAAAGAGGCAGTAGTACAGAGAGAGTAGTAAAGAGGCAGTAGTACAGAGAGAGTAGTAAAGAGGCAGTAGTAAAGAGGCAGTAGCACAGAGACAGTAGTAAAGAGGCAGTAGTAAAGAGGCAGTAGTACAGAGAGAGTAGTAAAGAGGCAGTTAGTAAAGAGGCAGTAGCACAGAGACAGTAGTAAAGAGGCAGTAGTAAAGAGGCAGTTGCACAGAGACAGTAGTAAAGAGGACAGTAGTAAAGAGGCAGTTGTAAAGAGGAGTGTACAGAGAGATAGTAAAGAGGCAGTAGTAAAGAGGCAGTAAGTAAGAGAGAGTAGTAAAGAGGCAGTAGTAAAGAGGCAGTAGCACAGAGACAGTAGTAAAGAGGCAGTAGTAAAGAGGCAGTAGTACAGAGAGAGTAGTAAAGAGGCAGTAGTAAAGAGGCAGTAGCACAGAGACAGTAGTAAAGAGGCAGTAGTAAAGAGGCAGTAGCACAGAGACGGTAGTAAAGAGACAGTAGTAAAGAGGCAGTAGTACAGAGGCAGTAGTACAGAAGCAGTAGTAAAAAGGCAGTAGTAAAGAGGCAGTAGTAAAGAGGCAGTAGTATAGAGGCAGTAGTACAGAGGCAGTAGTAAAGAGGCAGTAGTAAAGAGGTAGTAGTACAGAGGCAGTAGTAAAGAGGCAGTAGTAAAGAGACAGTAGTAGAGAGGCAGTAGTAAAGAGACAGTAGTACAGAGACAGTAGTAAAGAGACAGCAGTAGAGAGGTAAGTAGTAAAGAGGCAGTAGTAAAGAGGCAGTAGTAAAGAGGCAGTAGTAAAGAGGCAGTAGTAAAGAGACAGTAGTAGAGAGGCAGTAGTAAAGAGACAGTAGTAAAGAGACAGTAGTAAAGAGACAGAGTAGAGAGGCAGTAGTAAAGAGACAGTAGTAAAGAGGCAGTAGTAAAGAGGCAGTAGTTAAAGAGGCAGTAGTAAAGAGGCAGTAGTAAAGAGGCAGTAGTAAAGAGGCAGTAGTAAAGAGAATGTAGCAAAGAGGCAGTAGTAAAGAGGCAGTAGTAAAGAGACAGTAATAGAGAGGCAGTAGTAAAGAGGCAGTAGTAAAGAGGCAGTAGTAAAGAGGCAGTAGTAAAGAGGCAGTAGTAAAGAGGCAGTAGTAAAGAGGCAGTAGTAAAGAGGCAGTATTAAAGAGACAGCAGTAGAGAGGCAGTAGTAAAGAGGCAGTAGTAAGAGAGCAGTAGTAAAGAGGCATAGTAGTAAAGAGACAGCAGTAGAGAGGCAGTAGTTAAAGAGACAGCAGTAGAGAGGCAGTAGTAAAGAGGCAGTAGTAAAGAGGCAGTAGTAAAGAGGCAGTATTAAAGAGACAGCAGTAGAGAGGCAGTAGTAAAGAGGCAGTAGTAAAGAGGCAGTATTAAAGAGACAGCAGTAGAGAGGCAGTAGTAAAGAGGCAGTAGTAAAGAGGCAGTAGTAAAGAGGCAGTAGTACAGAGACAGTAGTAAAGAGGCAGTAGTACAGAGACAGTAGTAAAGAGGCAACAGTAAAAAGGCAGTAAAGAGGCAGTAGTAAAGAGGCAGTAGTAAAGAGGCAGTAGTAAAGAGGCAGTAGTAAAGAGGCAGTAGTAAAGAGACAGCAGTAGAGAGGCAGTAGTAAAGAGGCAGTAGTATAAGAAGGCAGTAGTAAAAGAGGCAGTATTAAAGAGACAGCAGTAGAGAGGCAGTAGAGAGGCAGTAGTAAAGAGGCAGTAGTAAAGAGGCAGTATTAAAGAGACAGCAGTAGAGAGGCAGTAGTAAAGAGGCAGTAGTAAAGAAGCAGAGCAGTAGTAAAGAGGCAGTAGTAAAGAGACAGCAGTAGAGAGCAGTAGTAAAGAGGCAGTAGTACAGAGACAGTAGTAAAGAGGCAGTAGTAAAGAGGCAGTAGTAAAGAGGCAGTAGTAAAGAGACAGTAGTAAAGAGGACAGCAGTAAAGAGATCAGCAGTAGAGAGGCAGTAGTAAAGAGGCAGTAGTAAAGAGACAGTAGTAAAGAGACAGTAGTAAAGAGACAGCAGTAGAGAGGCAGTAGTATTAAGAGGACAGTAGTTTAAAGAGGCAGTAGTAAAGAGGCAGTAGTAAAGAGACAGTAGTAAAGAGACAGCAGTAGAGAGGCAGTAGTAAAGTAGGGCAGTAGTAAAGAGACAGTAGTAAAGAGACAGCAGTAGAGAGGCAGTAGTAAAGAGGCAGTAGTAAAGAGACAGTAGTAAAGAGACAGCAGTAGAGAGGCAGTAGTAGAAGAGGGCAGTAGTAAAGAGACAGTAGTAAAGAGGCAGTAGTAAAGAGGCAGTAGTAAAGAGACAGCAGTAAAGAGACAGCAGTAGAGAGACAGTAGTAAAGAGGCAGTAGTAAAGAGACAGTAGTAAAGAGACAGTAGTAAAGAGACAGCAGTAGAGAGGCAGTAGTAAAGAGACAGTAGTAAAGAGGCAGTAGTAAAGAGGCAGTAGTAAAGAGACAGCAGTAGAGAGGCAGTAGTAAAGAGGCAGTAGTAAAGAGACAGTAGTAAAGAGACAGCAGTAGAGAGGCAGTAGTAAAGAGGCAGTAGTAAAGAGACAGTAGTAAAGAGGCAGTAGTAAAGAGGCAGCAGTAAAGAGACAGCAGTAAAGAGACAGCAGTAGAGAGACAGTAGTAAAGAGGCAGTAGTAAAGAGACAGCAGTAAAGAGACAGCAGTAGAGAGACAGTAGTAAAGAGGCAGTAGTAAAGAGGCAGTAGTAAAGAGGCAGTAGTACAGAGACAGTAGTACAGAGACAGTAGTAAAGAGACAGCAGTAGAGAGGCAGTAGTAAAGAGACAGTAGTAAAGAGGCAGTAGTAAAGAGGCAGTTGTAAAGAGGCAGTAGTAAAGAGGCAGTAGTAAAGAGGCAGTAGTACAGAGACAGTAGTACAGAGACAGTAGTAAAGAGACAGCAGTAGAGAGGCAGTAGTAAAGAGACAGTTAGTAAAGAGGCAGTAGTAAAGAGGCAGTAGTAAAGAGGCAGTAGTAAAGAGGCAGTAGTACAGAGACAGTAGTACAGAGACAGTAGTAAAGAGGCAGATAGTAAAAGAGGCAGTAGTAAAGAGGCAGTAGTAAAGAGGCAGTAGTAAAGAGGCAGTTAGTAAAGAGGCAGTAGTAAAGAGGCAGTAGTAAAGAGACAGTAGTAAAGAGGCAGTAGTAAAGAGGCAGTAGTAAAGAGGCAGTAGTAAAGAGGCAGTAGTAAAGAGGCAGTAGTAAAGAGGCAGTAGTAAAGAGACAGTAGTAAAGAGGCAGTAGTAGAGAGGCAGTAGTAAAGAGACAGTAGTAAAGAGGCAGTAGTAAAGAGGCAGTAGTAAAGAGGCAGTAGTAAAGAGACAGTAGTAAAGAGGCAGTAGTAAAGAGGCAGTAGTAAAGAGGCGAGTAGTAAAGAGGCAGTAGTAAAGAGGCAGTAGTAAAGAGGCAGTAGTAAAGAGGCAAGTAGTAAAGAGACAGTAGTAAAGAGGCAGAGTAGTAGAGAGGCAGTAGTAAAGAGACAGTAGTAAAGAGGCAGTAGTAAAGAGGCAGTAGTAAAGAGACAGCAGTAGAGAGGCTGGTCCAGAAGCAGTCATTAGACTTCTGTATAAACAAATAGGTAAGTACAAACAGGTAAGTTTAACCAGGTGAATATAAATAGGTGAGTATAACCAGGTGAGTACACACAGGTGAGTACGAACAGGTGAGTACAAACTGGTGAATACAACCGAGTACAACCATGTGGAGGCAAACTGAATACACAGTTTCAAGAACAGATATGGTAAGGCCCATGAGCCCAGAAAACAGTGATGTATCGTAAAGGGCTGACAGATGCAGATGAAAGTATCATTAGAGGCGGGGCCAGGAGCTGAGTCTCGACCCACGTAAACCCGCTCAACAATTCCCTACAAACACACACAAACACACACACACATATACACACGCGGAA